TTTGACAAGTCCACTCCAAAGCATTAATTATGTTTCTTTTCAGCCATTCAGATGTAAATCTGCTTTTCTATTTTTGGAAATTTCTGTATTTATTTTTTCTTGCTGCACAACCTGATGTTTCAGCATCAGCTGATGGACACTCACCTTCAGAATTCTCTGATACAGGACAGAATTCAAATTAGCAAATTATCCAAGTCCCGAGGCAGCAAAACATGCCCTCACCTTCGTACTATCATGAGCATATTTGAATGTTGGTATGTTGTTCCTATTGTGAAATGTAGAACTTGTTTTATGGCATATAAAGGGACCTGTGTTTCTAAAATGTTACAGTTCGGCCTGGTCTATCCACAGAACAGTGTCTCAAAAGGCTTAGGGATTGTCTGGGTGTTTTTTGGCAAATGTGAGATAGCGGTGTTTTCTACCTTGTTGGGCTTTTGTGAAAGTCACTTTTGCTCAGTCCCTTTCTTACTGTGGAGTCATGAACACTGACCTTTGCTGAATCTATGGAGACCTGTAGTTCCTTGGTTTGTCTCCTGGAACCTGTTAAATTTGCCTCTGGGCCCTTTGGGACGCTTTGGCAGGCCGGCCACTCCTGGGAAGATTCACCAATGTTCCTAGGGTTCTCAATTTTTAAATAATGGCTCTCACTGTGGTTTGGTAATATCATGTTTTGATCATACTAGATCAGACTAGTGTGCTTGCGAAAACTTTATGGAGACTATATCTGATGGTAAACTAGGTTAAAATAGGGTTACAAGGCTGGCTTCATTCAAGCCTGACTGTTTTCAATCAGCCAAATCTTATGATCACTTAAATTTTGTTAATTTGTTGCTTGAGTAAGTAAGGGGGTAATTACTTTTTCACATGGGTGATTTGCATGTTGAGTAATAAAATACATAATAATTTTTAAAATGTGTTTTAATAAGGTTCTCTGTTTAACATTACATTCTGGTTACATATCTAAACACATTCACTCAATCTCAAATATGCAATAAAAAAAAGTGAAGGAGTTGGTCAAATACATCTTCACAGCAAAGTATATAAATGGCTGTAAATGGCTATAAATTCATTTATGGTTTACCCAGTATAAATGTAAATGCAAATTGTAAACACAAATTAAACATACTAGTCTGCAATTTAACCTAATGGTTATGGTTTCATTTTAAATCTATGGCCCCACTGAAAGGATGGGATGTTTTTCATTTAGGTAAAAATCTGGTATACACCACATACTAACATGTGCTCATCAAATGGGTCAAATCAGGTGAGCACCGGAAACTATTTGGTGCGTACTGTACACTACAAACCCAATTTGAGACAGTAGGTGAAATGCAAATGAAAACAGAAAGTAGTGTTTGCAAACTCGTTTTGGCCTGTATTCAATTGAAAACAGTAATAACATTCTGTAGTCATTTGGAAAGTGAGGACACCAGTTCTTGTAGTTGTGAAAGTGAGTTTTTTCCCCTTTTTTGCTTGGTATAACACTTCAGCTGCTCAGCATTCCAAGGTCTTCATTGTTGTGTGTTGCACCTAATGTACCACAAGTTTTCAATGGGAGACAGGTCTGGACTGCAGGCAGGTCATTCTAGCACCTTCACTTGCTTACTGTGAAGCTGCAATGCTGTAAGACCTGCAGAATGTGGTTTGGCATTGTCTTGCTGAAACAAGCAAGGATGTCCCTGAAAAGGTGTCATCTAGATGGCAGCATTTGTTGCTCCAAAATGCATATATACCCCGTGTCATTAATAGTGCCTTCAAGTTACCCATGCCATTGGCACTTACACAGCCCCACAGCATGACAGATGTTGGCTTTTGAACTTTACACTGTTAACAATCAGAATGGTCCTTTTCCTCTTTGGCACAGAGAGCACAACATTCATTATTTCCAAAAAACACTTTGAAAGATGGACTCATCAGACCACATCACACATTTCCACTTTATGTCCATCTCAGACGAACTTTAGCCCAGTTAAGTCACAGTATTTCTGGATGTTGTTGATAAATGGCTTCCGCTTTGCATAGTAGAGTCTTAACTTGAATTTGCAGATGCAGTGAAGAACTGTGTTTACTGACAAGAGTTTTCCAAAGTATTTCCGAGCCCATGTGCTTATAATCATCACAGATGCATGACAGTCTTTGATGCAGTGCATTGAATCAAAGGGATCAAAGGTCATAGGCATTTAAAATTGGTATTCAGCCTTGTCTTTTATGCACAGAGATTTCTCTAGATTCCATGAATCTTTTTATATTCTGCACTGTAGAAGGTGAAATACCTAAAATTCTTGCAAATGCTTGTTGTTTCCTGGGTCCTCCTTTTATACACAAGCATGATTGCATCAGCTGTTTTTGTGTATTTTACAACGTTAAATTTGCAGATCCTAACTTTTTTGGAAGGTGTTGCAGAATCACTTTTATAATGAGCATATATTTACACAAAATAATAAAGTTCAAAGGGTAAAACATTAAATATCTTAATGCTGTTTTTAAAAATTTATAAACCACTGCCTTCTGTTTTTATTTGCATTTTACGTACTGTCACAGCTTTTTCAGGATTTACTTTGTATTTGGTGTGCGCTAGATACTATTTGGTGCTTACCTGATATTGATATTCACCAAATGGCATCTGGTGCTCACTCAGTAGTATCTGGTGCTCACCTGATATTATCTGATGAGCACATGATAGAATGTGATGTGCACCAGATTTGTGCCTAAAAACCCCATCATGTCCTTTCAGAAGCTCTGTACAAATATGATGGGTTCAAACATCAAAGAACAACAAAACTTTGGTATTGTCAAGTTACTAGGGCTGCACTGTATATACTAGTGACCTACTTTCAACCACAGTGAATACCTACCCTTTAAACCTGCAGCTATGCACTGTTAAAGCCCTCATCTGCACTTGATACGGATGATATGCTCTGTGAGAGCCCACAGACATGGGATATGCACTGTTTCAATCTGATAGCAGGCCACTACCCTCATCAGCCATTGCACGCCAGTACCCACCTGCCTCGTCTTTCCCCCTCACTCCTCACTTTCTTGTTTCCAAGTGCTCTGCTCTCACCACATAGCCAGTACATGCAGGCTGCCATGCCTTAGTGAATGATGAGGTACAGTGATCTTGAATGCGGGATGTAGTGGCCTGCGTATCTCTAAGTACCTGATGAAAAAGCACCAGAACTGGCTGTCATATGGGCCGCCTCCTGTTTCAGCCCTACCCTTACTGATATGAATTGTTCCTTAAGTATGGTACTTATCCTCTGATGCTATTGGAAAGGGTCAGTGCTGAAAAACAGCTGCTCTTGAGCAGTTTGGAGAGTGAAAGGAAGTGAACCTTTAGTTTGCTCTGCTGAAATCTTGCACCTGCGTTGGCCTTATTGTTTGACTTCATTCTCCCCCCACCCTGCCCACCACAAATGTCTCTTTTCTCACTCAGCTGCAAACACACAGGGGGTAAACCACAACAATCCAGTCAGTTTGCAGCCTGAATATTCAGTAACATACCTGTACCAACAAGTCTACAGGTTGTGCAGGCAAGGTACGCACCAGCGAAAGTTTCCAGCTCCTGATTAAACAGTAGCAGACATTCAGTTCATCACTGCAAGTGGAAAGCTCATGGGTGAAAAATGTATTATTGTTTTCACTCTGACAAATTGTATAAGTTTTATTATATATAAGCGCACTTCATGTTGTGGTTAAGGGAGATTTCCTCAGGGGTGGAGAGCTGCAATTTTGTCTGAACAGCCGAAACAAAAACACTCCATCAGGCCTGATGCTGCGTGCAAGGGGCTAATTAAAGGTGCTGTAGTGTGTGAATCTGGATGGCACCAGCGGTGTTAAAGGTGGTATCAGAATATTCAAGTTAACGTAGAGTTTCCGACATTCATTTTCTTAATGTTGACAGTTGCTGCAAGAATTCGATTTTTATTATACCTCTGGGTGGAAGGAGAAAGCAGAGCTAAATCTGATCCTGAGCCTTACATTAAAGCTGAGAGTGAGTGAAATGCCTTTGAAGTCCACGTGGCACATCACTCTGGTCAGCCACACGTCTGACCCATATAAACAACACTGACTGAAGTCACATGACCTTAGAGCAGTCTTTCACCATGGTCCCTGCAAAGTGCAGCTTAGGAGTGGGCAATGCTAGCAGTAGTTCTTTTCTCAGTGACTTTGATGGTATATTTGGCCTGATTCATCCATTCAACTGTGAATGTTTAAGTGGCTGCTAGAACAATATGAGAAAGATTTTGCACTTGCCTCTGCACTCTTAATTTGTGGTTATCTCTGGCATCACAAAATCCTGACTTTCATAATGTATTGAGAGAATCAGTGGTCACTGACACATTTCCTTTGGATCTATCTCTCTCCTGGTGCACAAACCAGTTCCAGAAATGAAGCAATTTGAACTGGGCTTTGTGATGGCATGCTTAAAGAATCCTTGTCCTAGATTCAGCTCTGGCCTGTGGCTGTGCTAATCATTTATGCTCAGTAATGAATTGCCACATTATAATCATATTGTTTATCTTTATAATACACAACAGCTGAGCTTTGTTGATTTATGTACCACAAGTGAGCTTCTGAAAACTTACACAAATTTGCTGATTGTGCTGTAGAAAGTCATGAGCTGTCATTTACTAGATTATTGTAACTGTTCTGGCTGAAGTGTATATTTTACTCAGATTAGTAGAGAGTGGCAGTGGTATGTGGAAAATTCGGATCATGCTGGGATTCGTTATTTTGCTGGGATATTTTTGTCACACACCAGGATTAGGTTCAGTGTGCCATCTGGGGAAAGTTTTCACACTGTTGCACTGTTGCCTCATCACCGTGCAAATCCTGTTCATTTGTCCCACATGGAAAAGCTCCAAGTAGCAAAGAATGGTCCCAGTCATGCAGCAGAGTCTTACTATTCCATCACTAGCATCCAAAACCAAACTCCAGTGCATGCTTATTTATGGCTTTTGCTAAGTTGAATACATTGTCCAAAAGAAATCACTTACCTCTAGTGTTGGAGGAGGTAAAACTAATGCTTGTTAGGAGATCCTCTTTGTTTTGTACTGTGAGTGCAAGAATGTGTTAGCCGGCAATGTGCTCCCTCTCCCTCTCGCTCTCTTTCTTCTTTTGAGAGTGTGTTTGCCTGTCAGGCTGTGCAAGACATCTCCCTCCTGCTCTCCCAAACCCAGTGTGCCATCAGGAGCCGGGGAACGAGTACAGGAAGGGAGGAGGACAGAGGGAGGGGCAAAGATACAGCCAAGAGGGAGGGATGAAAGGAAAACAACAACAGGACAAAGGAGAACAAGAAGAAGCACTACAGGCCTAAATGAGCCTGTAAAAGAGGAGGACAAGGCAAAAAGGTGCAAAAAAAGATCAGAGAAGGAGGAACGAGAGAGAGAAAGCTAAAGGAAGAGAGAAATACAGAAGAGATTTAACCTGTGAAACTTCAGTTCCTCGCTTACAAAACTTTCACATTAGTGTTATAGTTATTATGAAGTAATTTAGGAGGAATAAGGAGAGAGAGAGAGAAGAGATAAAGAAACAGAGACAGAGAGACATGGAGAAAAACATGAATTTAATAGACTTCAAGGCCCACATTTCAATTCTTGACTGTTGTAACTACATGACTTACATATTAGTAAATCTTGCTAAAAAACTACTAGCAAAAATGTACTAGCAAAATCTTACTCAAGATAAGATAAGTGTAAGTACGGAGCCAAAAATGTGCTTGAGAGAATGTTACACACTTATGTAATTATATACACACTTATGTATATCTATATCTTAATCAGTATAATTGTTTTGATAATATGTAAGTGGAGTATTCATGGAACCACAACTTACCATCCTTGGACAGGCGCACCATGCAAGATTTCCCAACTCACTCTCAGAAAAACAAAAAGGAGAGTAAGAGAGAAGCCTGCAGTCACTCCAGAAAGCAGTTTCGGGATGACTTGAAAGCAGTAGGAACAGCAATTACACAGAGACTAATATGCAATGAACAGCTCCACAATCATCTCTGTTACTACACCCCATTGTTAACTCTTCTGCTAACAAAGAAGCACAGAGATGCACGCCTAAAATTTGCTAAGCTTAAATCTCTTTGTTTATGCTTATGAATATACACTTTTTTGTTTAAGTACAAAGTCAAAAGACTGTGTGTAAATTTGAAGTGTATTATGTCTAGTAATATAACAGTGTGTTGTTATTATTACCATTAATTGTCATGACCGTTGTCATAATGTTTGATGTCATGACAGCTAACTAGAATTTATTTTGCAAAAATCAGCATGTGACATAAGCTGTCATGATATCAAGCATTGTGGCATCTGAATAGCATGACAGTGTTACATTACTAAACAAAAATTGTCATGACAACTCAGGACAGCATCTTTAATGGCATGTTTATGGCATGGTTATGTCAATGCTATGTAGCAAAGTTCAAGTATTAGGAAGTGTTAGGAAATTAATTCAAGTGTTAAGAAAAACTTTTGTAAAATAATGTTTGATCACAGCCCACACTAGTGAATCTACCTTTTCTTAACCCTTTTCTCAACTTCCCATTAGTGATGCAGCAACTAATTGGCAATACTGGATTTTGCACAAAAATGAAATAACAGTTTTCTTTAAACTGATACGAAGAAAAAAAAACTAAATGCAAAGGAAAAAAGAGAGAGTCTTTTACAATTTGTGATGAGTACTTCAAAAGTAATAATGTAATAATATATAATATAGTATTCAGTTTCAATCAACTACAAATCATCCAAAATTACACTAACAAAATACCATCACTTAAGTTTTTTCGATCCCATTACTGAATAATTTATAATAATTGCTGAATAATAAGAATAATAACTTTAGAGTGATAGGTCAATCATAAAGCTGTTTTTTTTAGGAGTTAATAGAGAGACACCAGATAGAAGTGAATTTATGTCATGTCACATTCCCAGACAACTTAAGAGATGTCTGTTAATCTTACTTGGCTCCTTAACCTGTACAAAAGCAAAATCAGGAACATCTCAAGAGAACAGAACATTCTCACTTAGTGTTATTCAACTGTCTGCAACAAATGAGAATGAAATCTACTGTTCTGTACTGTTCTGCACAAGAATGAAACATACACAGCATGTACTTGTCATAAACCTAATCACTACTAGTCATTTAATCCTGTAATTGTCTAATTTATCCCAAAGTTGAAGTTCAGTCTTTTTCTCACATGCAGCGTTCACCCTCAGTGCCTGTATGTTGATGCCGGATGCTCTTCATGAGATAGGAGGGCACTTTAAAGGAGCTGACGTCACCATTTAGAATGGAATAAACCTCTGAGGTATTTGCTCAGAGGAAGGTAAACAAAACAGAACAAAATTGAAAACATCCTGCATTAGTCAAGTCAAGTCAAGTCAAATTTATTTGTATAGCGCTTTTTACAACTGATGTTGTCACAAAGCAGCTTCACAGAAATCCATTAAGGACAAAGATTTAACATGAAATGTAAATCCTCCAGGTGAGCAAGCCATTAACATCTGGCCACCTCTGCAGTATAGAATAGATTTACTTCTCAGCTTTTTCCCTCAGGTGGTTTGAAGAGAAATGCCGTAGTAGGGTTTTATCTGAGGTTGACATTGAGGTAATGGAACAAGAATGGAGCAAATATAGTTCTGATGTTACACTAAACTATCAGAAAATCTGATCAGGCGAACCTATTCTAAAGCACATGTTTGCGTGATATGACCATCTTAGGTCACTCATGTTATTAATGGACTGTGTTCACATAGCACAGTCCGGTCCCAGGGTGAACACAGGAAGGGCAATGGAGGATCAGGCACAGGCTGCTTTGATCAGATCCACAAAAGCAGGCCCTCTGTGTTTATCTTCTCTCTGCAGAGGGTTTTTTTTTCCACTGTCATTGATTGATTCAAAGGGCTCTCAGACAGGGACCTTATGGTTAACTTCAGACCTGAGAAGAAAGAACTGGGGAGTACTAAGCAAGAATGCCTGGACAGTATGTGGGGCTTTTAGAGCTAACACACAAGCTGTTAAGACTATGTGCAGCACACCACATCCCGCATTACATATAGTTCAGTGAACAGCCGAGAAGAGAAATGTCAACAATATGTCTGCTTATGAGACTTTGAGTATAAGAGGTCACAGCTTCCGCTTGGAGGACTTTCCCAGCACTCTGGATTTAGCCCAGATCTTCTTATGTAAACAAACAAAGGAGCTGTCTTGAACTTTACTATGATTTACATAGTAGAAGTGTGGGTAAGCAAACTCAGAAAAGTGGCACAAAATATCATGCCTCAAAGAACCACATTTTCTGTCTCTGTTATACACTACAGCACATTACATTAACTCTGTTTTACATTATGATTACAGTTATCTGATTTGTGTTGAGGAGGGTGGGGTCATGTTTAAACTTTTTACATATGTTTTTCTATTTTTATTTTCCTAATATTTACACAGTGACTGTAGGATAATCTCTTTTACTCACTGATACAGGACATGTTGTTGTTGTTCCTTGTAGTGTCCACTAGATGTCCTCATCAGCAAAGAATTTAATTAGAACAGTAAAAGATGAAGGTGCAGACTTACATGGTCTGATTTTTATTTCAATTCTCATAATTTTTAATGTGCTTTATCTTAAAATATGTTTTTTTTTCTGCACTATTCTTAAATCTGTCAGTCAGTTTGGTAAACATAATATATTTTCTTGGGCAACACAGTTTTGAAAATTACTTAAGGGCCTTTAACCAGTATTTTGTCATACATATTGCCTCATTTTATTTGCCCATTTTTGGTTTTACATACCCAAAACATTCATAATTAATTTTCACATGGCATTTTTCCAACTTTATCCCTTAGAATTAAGCAGAGTGTTTTTCTTACTGGGTTTTAGGAATGATATATGTAAATGAACTCTGTCCTGACTGGCTGGGCTTTATTGCACCTCAGTCAAAATCAGTTTGAGCTGAAACACTCCTTATAACATCAGCTTGAATAGGTGGAGCTAATCTGCTTTAGGCTGAACAGGCAGATATATATAAATACATTGGTTTTTGTGTCATCACTGAAAACAGTTCATATTTTACTGTTTTTGCAGCTTAGTTTCCATATTTGAGGGTGAACAGTTTGTTTAGAAATTTGAATCATGTTTTGCATACGCATCAACCTAATTTAAATCAAACAGAGAGGAAATTTGCTTGACCATGTTGTGGGCCTTTGAAGCCCAAAATCTGAGGTTGGTGGTCAAGCACAAAAAAGTGCTTTACTAAATACCATCTTCAAACAGGACCTCCAAGCACACTAGATACTGAGTGCAGTCAACCGTCTGTGCAGGAGTTAAGTGGATTTGTCCAGTTTCATCACACTGTTGCACGTACAGTCTTCAGCTTTGTGCGTCACCATCATGTGGTGGGATGTGTGATGGAGAGAGATAGAGTAGAGAGATAGAGGGAATACTGCTGGCCACAGAAAATCAGTGATAACATCTGTCCGCTACAAAGCCCTTATAGGTATTTGCCAATTACAGTGAACATGGAGGCTATGCATCCACGTGCAGAAATGCCTCAATAATGCTAACAAGCATAACAGCCAACTACTGTATGTGCATATTGTTGGTCTATCACCCTTTGTACCCCTTCAAAACTCTCACATATTCTGCAGTGAAACATCCTGGATCCAGGCAAAATAATGATGTCTGGGGGACTTTTTCTCTTATGAGATAGTACAAAGCTAAACGTTGACAGGAATAGTATTTGTCAGTGTAATTAGTTTTTACACATTGTGTAGCATATGCAGGCTATGACACATATATTATATTACCCCTGTAACTATGTTAAGAAGCCCTGTCAGGCAGTGGCCTATAGTGTTATTTGACGGAGATGACCAAAAAAAGGTTATTAAAATGTACTTTCTCTATATCAACTTGTTCTTACACTGAAAATATAACATCTCAGTGAATTATTCAAAGAAAAGTCAAACATTTGTATACTTGATGATGGTTATCTATAACATTAACCCGGTAAACATGTATAGATCTGTGTTGATGTTATCTTTGTCTTAAGTAAGTATGGATTAATAACTTTAAAGACAGACCTCATATAGTAGCTTGTTCATTTTCTAAGGGTGTAAGCGATTTGCACCCAGTGTTAAAAAATTAAAAATTAACATTTAAATGAGTGTATTCAATATGCCCCTCTGTGTCTTCT